AGCTGACTGTGTGAACTAATTGTACCACCCAGGGACTAGTTTTGAAGTGGTCTATAGATGTCAATTAGGTCTTAACTGATTTTATGCCTCCTTATTATTGAAAAAGGAGTATCGAAGTCTCTCTATAATTGTGGATTTGTCTGTTTCTCCTTTCAATTATATCTTTTGCTTCGTGTACTTTGTAGCTCAGTTGTTAGATGCATTAGAGTTGTTTTATTTCTCCAGGAATTGATTTACTAATTAATTATTTAGTGGCCATTTTCATCCCTAGAAATATCCATTGTTCTATAAAGTTTCTTTTGTAAGAGAATGGATAATTTAAAAACTTGTATGGCAAAATAAATTTGTAGGAGTAGGACACTTAGAATTACTGATAGTACTTAAAGATAGTCTGATGTTATATTTTCTTTAGGTTGGAACATTAAGATTTTGTGGAACAACTGAATTTGCAAGTGGGCAGTGGGCTGGTATTGAATTGGATGAACCAGAAGGAAAAAACAATGGAAGTGTTGGAAAAGTCCAGTACTTTAAATGTGCCCCTAAATATGGTAAGGTAGATGCTATTTAACTATTATTAATAAGAAAGCATTTAAAACAAACAAATTTTGCTCTTTTATCTCTTTATCTAACGTTTCCCCTATGGTTACTTATGTAATAAACAAGGAAATTTGAATTTTAAGAGGATTTTTTTTTTTTTTTTTAAAGTTAGGAGATGTTACAGCATGTCTTTATGTTGTTAAGTGTCATACAGTTGAAAGTCTCATCTTTCTCCTGTGTAGTGGCTGGTGCACTGGAGCCATGGATCTGGTGGTTTACAGTTCAATGCTTATTGTGTGGAGCCACCACACTGATGAGAATAGTACGAGACAGAGGGAGAAACTGATTCTGCATGAACGAGAGGGGTAATTGTAGGAGGAAAGTCCTTAAAAAGTTAGAAATAGAATAGAATGCACAGATAAAGGGGTCCTTATGTCAGGTCAGGTACAACTTACCTTACTATTTAAGGAAAACGATGGTGGAAGATGAGGCAAAGATTTAAAAAAGAAAATGTTTTATTGTGAATTAGGTGAAGCTTTTCAGAGCAAATCCGTTCTCCACTCAACAATTCATACACATTTTGTTCCATGTCCTTGATTGCAATCCCCACAATCACTTAGCCCACTTCCTCCTTGTATACACTGTTTCTATTTCTTTCTTTTCTAACCCTTCTGAACTTCATCCTTAGGTAAATGCTGCCCTTTTGATCTCATAATGGTTGATTATTCTAAGGTGTGCATATCTCCCTAGTGTTACTATTTCCCTTATAGACCTGTCTGATATTTGACTGAAAATGAAACCATAGGGATGAACTCATTGCTAGACCTGATGGATGACTAAGACCCATAGTCTTAAGGTTTCCACCAGCTTATTCAACCAGTAAGCCTGATCTTGATTGTGGTAGCTGGGCGCCATCTAATTCTTCTGGTGTCAGGATTGTGGAGAGTGATATTTGTGTGATTAGTTCATTGGACTGCATGTTTCCAAAGATGTGGATTTTTATGCTAGACAATGTACTTGACAACACAGTGCAATGTGTTTCACAGTAGCTAAGCCAGAAATAATAATAGAAAACTATTACTGATTCATTTTCCTTTTTCCTGAATTACACTTTAATACCTGATTTTGTACCTCTTACGTGGTTATTGCCCCAGAGGCAGCAGTCAGGAAATCAAATGACGTATTTCACTGGGCAGATAATGCTGCGAAAGACCTCTATAAAGTATTGAAAAAACAAAGATGTCACTTGGAGGACTAAGGTGTGCCTGACCCAAGCCTGGTATTTCCAGTTGCCTTATATGCATGTGAAAGCAGGTCAGTGAATAAGGAAGACTGAAGAAGAATTGATGCCATTGAATTATAGTGCTGACAGAGAATATGAATATACAGGGACTGCCAGAGAACAACCAAATCTGTCTTGGAGGAAGTAGTTAACATACTCCTTAGAAGCAAAGATAGTGAGAGTTCATCTCATGTACTTTACCATGTTACCAGGAGGGATCAGTTCCTGGAAAAGGACATCATGCTTGGTAAAGTGGCTGCTCAACCAAAAACATGAAACTGCTTAATGAAATGGAATAGCACAGTGGAGGCTACAAGGGGCTCAGACATAGCAGTAATTGTGAGGATGGTACGGGACTGGGCAGTGTTGGTTCTGTTCTAAATAGGGGCATTATGAGTTGGAACCGACTCTGCTACAGATAACAATATGTGGTTCTTAAATTACTGTGTTCGTGTGTGTGTCTTGACAGCCAGATTTTAAGTTTGTAAACACTTGGAGTGCCAGTACTTTGCCGTTAGTTTGTTTGTTTAGTTATTCACTATAGGACACATGCTACCTGGTCAGTTCTGACTTATAGTGACCCTGTAAGGGTTTTTGAGAGTTGCTTGTGGACTTGAACTTTCGACCTTGCGGTAAGTAGTCCAGTGCTTATTCTACAGCTCCACACCACCACTCCTAGTCACTGAAAAAGAATGTCAAGATTCATTATTACTAAATAGTTTGTGTTAGTTTCTTTGAAATGTTTTTAGTTGCTTAACCCTATTTTTAATTCTACATTTTTCCTTAGGTATCTTTGCACCACTTTCAAAGATAAGTAAAGCAAAAGACCGAAGGAAGAATGTTGTACAAACTTCTTCCACAAAAGCTTTACCTGTCACCCGGTCCCAGAAAATTGATGTAACCCATGTAACGTCGAAAGTAAACACTGGTAGGCACTCTTCTTCAGCATTTTTATTTTATTTGTGAGACTTCTACATTTAGGTTGCTTTTCTCGCTCTCCTTTTATTGTTAGCTACCTGTGAAGTTGGAATTGAGTAAAACATACATCTTATGGTTTTGTAAGACTCAGTCATGGTTTATGAGTCAATCCCTACTATTTATTCCTTTATCACCCCATAATGTAACCTCAAAACAGGATTTTATACATCCAGGAAATATTTATGAAGCACAGCTTACTTTATATCTCTCACCTAGTCAAGGATCTGTAATGACTTCTTGTCAGAAAAACATTTCTATTGAAATTAGTATTGAGTCTTCTTTAAACTAAAAAAATATAAAATAGAAACTGTGTCTTTGTAGCTCCCACCAAACAACCCTTTCCTGATGGGTTCAGGTAGGAGAAAGTGGGGTAGTATGCTGATAGGATTATATGATTCAGTTGTGAGTGATTGTTAACAGGATTATGGAAACCTGAGAATCTAACAATCATTGTTAACCATCGGGCTAGGTTTAAAAGGAGCCATCTCTTAAGCAGGGAGGGGGACCTCACTACTATGAAGGCGAAAGAGCCAGGAATGGAGTGTGTGCTTTGGGCTCTGAGATCCCTGTGCATTGAACCTCCTTGGCTCAGGGACAGACATATGTGATGGCAGACGAGTAGCTGAGGAACAGGAGAAGCAGAATCAAGAGCCAGAGCACCAGGCAGAGCAGTCGGCCGTGGAGCAAGGAAAGCAGAATGCCTGTTGGCAGGAGGCTCCTTGTGGAGTGGGGTGTCTTCAGGCAATTAATTGCGGAGCTAGGTTTTCTGACCCCTGGAGTGGTATGCCCTTTGTGCATTTATTAGCAGCCCTAAAAGAGCTTTGCAACTTTGTTGGAGCAGGGAAGAAAGAGGCCAGGCCATGGGACCAAAGGCCATAGAGAGGCCTGCCTGTGGGCAGGGCAGAGGAGAGGCTGTCTTGACTGGAAGAACTGTGTCTTGAGCATTTCTGATGCTGAATTGTAACCTGTTAACTTCCCTAATAGACCCCATAACTGTGAGTATGGTGTCTGAGTTCTTTGTGACCGTTGCAATTCATTGTTGAACCCAGCTGATTGAGTACTCTACACAGGAGGGATGGTTGGTACCATTGTTTTGTTTTTTCAGTCTCATTAGTCTCCTTTAATCTGTAGTAGTTCCTTAGTCTGTCATTTTTTCATGACCTTGACACTTGAAGGATGATGGTCAGGTGTTTTTCTAAAATCTCCCTTAGTTTGGCGTGGTTTGATGTTTACTCATGATTAGATTGAGTTTATTACAATCACTCCCTGAGTTTTGAACAAGATCTGTTCCTAAGTGAATGCTTAAGTCTAAGTCTTTAAATCCAGCCTGAGGTAAGTTGGAATAGGTAAGTATAGTTTATATTTAGCTAACTTTAGTACAAGAAAAAGGAGTCCTGGCAGTGCAGAAGGTTAAGTGTTGGGCTGCTAGTTGGAAGGCCAGTGGTTTAAACCCACCAGCCACTCACTGGGAGAAAGCTGTGGCTGGCTGCTCCTGTAAAGATTTACAGTCTTGAAGCCCTAGGAATCAAGTCTACTTTGTCCTATGGGTTTGCTTAGTGCAACTGCAGAGGGTAGGTTAGGGCAAGTAAAGGCTTGAAGCCTTTTCAGTGATGTAAAAGCTGCACGTGGAGCAAGATTGTGATGGATCTTTTTCTAAGCAGTGGTTGATTCACTAGTTTCCAAGTGAGAGCTCATTTGTATGTCACTGAAGAGCAACAACAATGGGCTCAAACCCACGATGAGTGTGAGAATGGTGCAGGTGTGGGCACTGTTACATTCTGTCGCACATAAGGTCGCTATGAGTTGGAACTGACTGAGCAGCACCCAACCTAACCTAAAGGGCAAGTATGAGTTGTCCATAAGTTGGACTTTCGTAACTCTGGGATTTCTTAATTGGGAAAGGTACCATAGAGGCCCTTCTCAGGTCCATGTTATTGACACATATGACAGGTCATTTGGTTATAATAAACCTGATCATTTGGTTAAAGTGGTGTCCACTGTAGTTATTGTTTTCCCCTGTGATTTCTCATATTTTGAGATTTGCCAGTATTTTGTTTCTGCTTAAGCTTTCACCTTCTAAATTCAGTATTTAACCGTGGATCTTGCTTGTGATGGCGTACTGTGATGCTCTAATCGCAATTTTCTGGATCCCCCTCAATTCACTACATTGGTTCATTGAAATTCTTGTGTCAGAATTGTCCACTCACTCCCTATCTATTTATTCAATTGTTATGTCAGTATTGCCTCGTGAACTCACGGATAATTATGTTTTTATTTGAATTATAACTCAGCTTATTCCAACTTTGAACTTTTGGCAATTCTTTGTTAGGTTGGTTCCTATGCTCTTTCAACATGTCCCCCCTAACCCCCTTTTTTTTTCAAAGCACTTTCCCCATTTTAATGATAGTCATCCATTCATGAAAACAGTGTGTATATGTTCGTTTATTCAGGTGTCTTATTAAATCTGTACCTAATATATATAATTTGGGGTGTGGGTTATAAGAGATGCATTTAAAAATTGGTTTGTAATTGTTCATTCATTGCTAGTATATAGATACATGATTAGTTTTTATATATTGATCTCATAGCCTATGGCCTTGCCTAACTCGCTTTATTAATTTTAAGAGTTCTCTTGTAGACTCCTTGGGGTTTTTATGCTATCTCTGAGTAGTTTTATTTCATCCTTGAATGAAAGTTTAACTTTGTCAAAGAACTTTTCTGTATGTAGAGATTATAATGGGGTTTTTCATACATAATTAGTGGCTTAATATGGATTACATTAGATTGTGAATATTGAACTAGCCTTGTATTCCTGGGGTAACCTTTACTTAACATTGGCTTATTATATTTTTTATATATCGCTTATTTTTTATTGAAAACTTTTACTTCTGTATTTATGAGGTCTGCTCTTTGTTGGCTTTGATTTTGATTACAGTGGTCTCAAAAATTATTTGGGATGTATTTTTTACCCTTCTATTTTCTTGAAGAAGGTATTACGTGGAGTTTTATATCTCCTGTAAATGTTTTATAGAATTCACCAGTGAAACCATTTGGACCAAAGGTTTTCTCTATCATAAAGTTTTTAAGCTACAACTTACGTTTCTGTTGTTAAAATACAAGTTATTCAGGTTATCTGTCTATCTTGGTTAGTTTGTGGCTTTCAGGGAATTGGTCTAGTTCATCTAAGTTGTTGGGTTTATAGGAATAAAGTTTGACATAGCCCCCAGTTTTTTTTTTAATGCCAATAATGATGTCTTTCATTCATCCTGATAATGTAACTAGTATATTCTCTCCTCAAACCCCCCCCTTTTTTATTTGTTAGTTCAGCAAGAGGCTCATCAATATTATTGACCTTGCAAAGAAATAACATTAGATTTTATTGTTGTTTTTTCTTCTCCATTTTCTATTTTCAATATTGTTGATTTATGCTCTGCATTATTTCCCAGCTTTTGCTTGCTTTGTGCTGATTTTCCTTCTTTTTCCTGTGTCTTAAGGTGGGATCCTAGATTGTTTACTTGGGATATTTATTTTCCTTAGTATTAACATTTAGTATTAAATCTCTGTATACAGTACCCAAGGTGAATCTCCTTTTGTTATGTTGCGTTTCTAGTTTTGTTCCGTTCAGAGCATTTCCAGTTTTTCTTTGTGATTTCCTTTTTGATCAGCAAATTATTCAGAAGTGTGTCATTCAGTTTCCAAGTGTTAAGATTTTCCACCTACCTTACTGCTGTTTTTTAAAACTTTATTTTTTGATGTTGCTGTTGAGACTATTCAAAGCAGAATATTCACCAATTCAACACTTTCTGCAGGTACAGCTCAGAGACACTCGTTAAGTTCTTTGGGTTGTGTATCCGTTCTCACCCTTCTTTTCCAAATTGTCCCTCCCCCAGTATCATAAACTCACTGCCCATTAAGTTTCTTATCTGATCTTATGAATTGCCATTGTCAATTTGCATTCTTCCTAGTTAAACTAAACTGTTGTTTGATTTTAAGAAAACTCCTGGGGGTGCTTTTGGTTTAAGATTTAAAGATGGTCTCAGGGAAGTAGTTTCCAGGGGTTTATCCAGACTTCATGGTTCCAGGATGTCTGGATTCTATGAAAATCTCAAAATCTGTCTTGCATTTCTCCCCTTTTGATCAGAATTCTTTAGAATCTTTGATCAAAATGTTCAGTAATGGTAGCCATGCATCAGTTTTCTCGGTCTTAGGGCAAAGGAGGCAGTTATTCAATGAGGCAATTAGCCAAACATTCGATAACCTCATATTCCTCTACCTCATCTAATATTAATATTGGTACTGCAGCTTTCTCTTCATTCGTGTTTGTATGTATCTTCTTTCTCTTCCTTTTACTATCTGTCTACCTACTCAGGCTGCAAACAAGATCCATTCCCATGTGTTTTTAAGTTGTAGGTAAGCTGAAACAGGTTCTTATGGCTCTTATTTTAGTGTTTGAAGCCTTTTCAGTGATGTAAAAGCTGTTCATGTGGCAAGTGATGATTGTGATGAAGAATTGGTGTGAATAAGGTTAGGGATTGGTTCAGTTGTTTCAAAATGAGGACAATTTTACTTGTAACCCTGAATTTACTGTATCTTTATACTAAAGTGACTTCCTTGTAGACAGCATTCAAGTGGTGATTTTTTTTTTTTCTTTTAAATCCATGTTGATAATCTTTTGTCTTTAAGTTGGTGCATATAGACCATTTAGTTTTAATGGAATTGTTGGTGTGCTTGGATTTACACTGCCACTTTATTCTTTGTTTTCAGCTTCTTTCCTTCATTGTTTTTTACCCCCCATGAATTAGTTGAATGAATGCTCTGTAGTATTACATTTTAATTTGTCAATTCAGTTTTTGATGGTATCTCTATATAGCTTTTGGTGGAGGTCGTTTTATGGGCTAAAATATACATACAGGCAACTGTCTTTGCTTTACATAGTTCTGATATGCACAA